CGACTAAATTTAGTCCTCCGGGACGCACACTCATCAGACGAAACGCGGAATTGCTTCCACTTCACGCCTGTCTTCGGTATGGTCGTGGTATTTCACCGGGAGCGCCGGGTCAATTCGTACGAAGATGTTAAACAGGGCTCCACCACTTTCGCAATGGAATATTGACGAATAAATAACAAAGTACTTAAAGGAAACTATTTTGGTGATACATATGTATAGGTAAAACATACTCTTTTAGAACCATGTTAACGTCTAATATCAATCACCGACGCTCAAAAGGTTAAAACAAATGTTTAACTAAACAGTGTTACTCTGTATACAGTTAATTTCTCAGTAATTATCCTAAATAATTATTCTATCTACGCCTAAAATACCGTCTCTTAATTAACAAGAAGATTTAGTCTGTACAAAAAGTTACTTTATAATTTAGATGTTCGTGATTCGACTTCAACTTTCTTCCAATTAAGTTTTATAGTCGAGTTTGTTAATTAAATTATTAATTTTAATATTCATTGCTGTTCTTAGGTACGTTTCAAATAAATTTTATTAATCATGGCGAGCAAAAAGAGCCTATACTATTCTACAATGTTGTACACTTTCAGATTTGGGTTTTGGCACAGAAATTTCAAATTATCTCTAGACTAGCGGTTGCTATTCCGTCCGTGCACAATTAAAAAAACATGTTTTCCTTCACCGTAAGAAAGTCGGATAAATGTACATATGTAAATCAGAAATCGAAAAACACATTGGTACATGGCGGGATTCGAACCCAGGACCTGCATATTGCAAGTCAAGTGCTTGACCCCTGAGCCCCCGACGCTCTAAAAAAACATTATTGGTAGCTTATGTGTTCTTCCAGACTATGTTCTATATGTGTGCTTTTCATCGAGATCCTTTCAGCCGTTGTGGAGATTCAAACAAACATACATACATCCATCCAAACAGTAGCATTTATAATATTTGTAAGAATTAAGATGACGAGCGAAAGCCTGTACTATCTCCAATGTTTATTTGTTGTTTATTCACTTTACCAAAAAAAAATTACACTTTCGGATTTGGGTTTGGTAACTGGTCTTTCTAGATGTTCACTTTATCGAAAGAAATGAAAGAGACGACGCAATGTTTTATATATGAATTTTAGTTTTAGAAACCTACGTTAACATAAATATTTCGCTTTCCAAAGTTTCTGTTAACTTCCTTAACAAATTGCAAGCGTTCAATTCAAATTAATTTTGTATTAGGTTCTCAGGTGCAACGGCTTACCAGCTACTGCCAATTAACAACGTTTTACCCTAAAACAGATTGCAATTCCTCTGAGTAAATTTAGTTTGAGTTCCCTCAACAACTGTGTAAAGGCCAGATTAAAGCTTGTAATTTCGTAATAAACTTTCCTAATGGGTATTCAACACATATTTCTTAAGGTTTCGTCTTAATCACGTGATGTTCTTACCAAAATAAAATCAACGTATAACCAGACCTTCCGTAGCTAAGACGTTTGAGCACTTGTCTTGTAATCTGCAGGTTCTGGGTTCGAATTCCATTTACCAATGTGTTTTTCGAATTACATACGTACAGTCAGCGTCATATAGATCGTCACAGACAAGATATGCAAATATATAGGTACATCAAAAGTAATCAATTATATCGGTACAACAAAAGTCCTCAAAATAATAGATACATTCACCCTGCTCAAATACATCGGTACATACACAGCGTCAAATATATGAGTACATGCAAGATGCTCATAAATATCGTAGCAGCCACAGCGTCATAAGTAACGAAGCAGTCAAGGTGCGCAAAAATATCGGTACATTTGACAAAATTGAACTCTATCTCTATATACTTGTGATACAATTTGGAATAAACTACTTCTGTTACATTCATTTGACACTTTGCATTAAACCATTTTTCAAAATTTACTAAAAGTGTTCGACGCGGATGACAGATATTAGGTATATAAAACCAACATCAAATTTAAGTTTGTCATCATATATGCTAGTTTGGTCTCGTGGCCTTACCGTTCGCCGCCGTTGGTGCGTCAGTTCGGCGGTTCAAATCCCAAGCAACTAATTTTTTTTTTGATATTTAAACTTTTTAATTTTAATATCGAAGCACATGTAATTAAACTCTATCGCCGTAGTTATTAGGTACTTTTTGATATTGCCTTGGACTAATGAGTTTGACCGTTAAAGTACTTTTCTATTTCAAACAAAAATGAAGGAGATAAAGCGATGCTATTGGCATGTAATTTGTTTATTACTCATGTTTGTTAAACTTGTACCGGTAAAAATAACACTTTTACTTTTACCTTTTACTGATACTGATTATATTTAAGAAACAAAGAAAAAAAACTGAATGTCAATATCCAAACTACATCAAATTTTTGGTCGATTGCAATAAACATTCCAGTGTGCGTGGGCGCGCACACATATGTAGATAACACTTGTACGTATAGTTTCCGCGCATACCATTCTTAAAACCCGCAATGACAATCCACGCTCCGCCCACTCACTTCACCCGCGATGGTCTGACCTAATTGTTGTTAACTTTATTTAAATTTCTTTCTACCCGACAGCGAAAATTATAAAAAAAATTGTCGAGCAAAATTTTACATTACCAAATTTTTACTGGTTATGAAAAAATAACCCCGTGATTGATAAAATGAAAAAAAAGTAGCCTGAGATTCGAACCGGTAAACTTACATATTACGGCAAACATACTAGAATACTGCGCCAAACTAGTATATATTGTGACAAGGCAAAATTTGATATTAGTTATTACGTATCTGTCATATTCGGCGTGACAAACTTTTATAATATATTAAAGCGTTATGACAGGAGAAGAAAAATATTGGGTTGCCCAGTAAGTTCGTGCCGCTTTGTAAGGAAAATTGAAACCCTGTTCTCTTAAATTTTTGGAAATGTTTTTAAATAATATTGGTACGACTCTATACCTAAAACGTCTTTTATTTTTGGCTAAAATTTTAAAAAATAGTTTTTATCTCAACCAATGAAATGAAATTATTCACAATATAGAAATTTTTATAATGGTGGAAATCCGAAAATGAATCCACTTCAGCTACAGTCTATTGTAAGCTTTATATCAAAATCAGAACGAACTTTCCGGACAACCTATAATGTTAATACAAAGTGTCAAATGAATGTAACAGAAGTAGTTTATTCCAAATTGTATCACAAGTATATAGAGATAGAGTTCAATTTTGTCAAATGTACCGATATTTTTGCGCACCTTGACTGCTTCGTTACTTATGACGCTGTGGCTGCTACGATATTTATGAGCATCTTGCATGTACTCATATATTTGACGCTGTGTATGTACCGATGTATTTGAGCAGGGTGAATGTATCTATTATTTCGAGGACTTTTGTTGTACCGATATAATTGATTACTTTTGATGTACCTATATATTTGCATATCTTGTCTGTGACGATCTATATGACGCTGACTGTACGTAAACTTTTGGGACACCCTATATATAATATATAATCGAAGAAGGGACGTACGGGAAGAGAATATTTCTTCTATACATTCAATTGTCCGTCAAATTCACTTCACCTTTTTTTTATTTTGTTATAATGGGAAAAATGCGTATTTGCTTCAACTGAACGCATGTCTTTTGGGTGGTCGTGGTACTGCACCAGACTTGAACTGGACGAGCCAGCTTATTCTTGCCACAGATATTGTTGTTGGTTACCATTACATGTGTACATTTAGAAAGTTCTTATCGCATTGTATTCTGTTACAGAATATCTGGTAATTAAATAAAACACAAACGTATTGTCCAACTGTTTATTACATCGCTTGTAGTTCCGCACAACTGCAAAGGAAGTAATGCGGCCCGTCGCTTTTGCCGCCTGACGCCTCGTGCGACCAGCTCGGCCAGTGCGGCCAACGTGGCCAGTGCGACCGAGTGGGGAGTGCAGCACTCCTCACAACGACATTATGACGTTTGTAACGTCAACGTCGTGAGGCGACACGACACGTGACTCGATGAGGTGCGTCCCGCCTCCGCCCCCGGCCCCTGCCCCCGACATTATGAGATAACATCTCACACAGACTTTTTTAAATAAAGGATTTTCAATTTTATGCTTTTACATGTTACGTTATTATAACTTGAAGAGTAAACTTAAACTACAAAGAATTTGAGTCCTTTTTAATTGCGTATTGGATTTATCCAATACGTCAAATAGGACGATGAAACGTGTATTTTCAATTTAAGATCATTGAATGAACGTATCGCTTGCACATTCGTGTGACGCCGCGCGCCGCGCACAAGCTACACCTTACAACCATACGATTTTTTTCTTTTTCGAAAGATAACAAATTAAACAATTTACTCCAGAGCACAGTTGGGGACGCCTCCCCCCCTCCCTCCCCCCCCGTCATTCCCCGCACAAGATATAATGTATTTGAATGTGTCACACTACAATAGCGAATTACTCTACCACTGTTCGTATTATCTACAACTGTACACTGCAGCGCTCGCCTCCAATCTTGCTGCCTTAAGTAAAATATCTGTAGTTTTATTATTTTATGAAGTTCTTATATAAAACATCGGAGCTCCCGCTGCCCCCCCGACACCCTCCCCCTGACCATCATCTCATCATCATAATCATGACAACAAAATAAAACAAATCTTATATTATATTATTTCGCATTGTGATTGTAGCGATAAAAATTTACAAATAAATGTACTATACAAATACAGGGCACGATCTCACAGAGCGCGGCCGGCCCCCGCCCCCGCCCCCGCCCCACAACACACC